TTATGTTTACAAGGGTCATGTGGTAGATGGTAACAATTGAACGAGGATCATAAAAATATCTTATGCCGTCAAAATAAGAGGAAACATTTAGGTAGTTTTTGCAAACCAATAAACAGGTAGGCTTATACCTGGATTAAGTACATGTCTTGTCTACTGTAATAGGTAGATGGAGGTGAAGCTGCCAGAAATGGATGTGTGCGATCAATAAACAAACCACAAGATTGAACTGCCGTGTCCCATGATTTTTGTATTGCCTCTTTTTTATTGTCTTACTAGAAAACTCTGTTGGGTATATGATGATGTTTACTAGAACTTAACAGCTTGCTGTCTGCCTTCTTCTACAAATTTCACCAAATCGAAACGCTGTTAACCTCATCTTCCGATGAAGACGCTACAAAGTACAGTCCTGTGATTTGGTGACTTGCTCGATCTGCAAAATCTCGTCGTCGCTTTTTCTAAGTTTCCCTAAAAATTCTTGCTTAGCAACCTCCAAATCAATGTCGTTCGTGTCAGGTTTTTGACAGAATTCGTCATAAAACTATTCATTTTCTTTAGAATTGCTATCCGAATTGTTAATTATTTTTATATCAGCTTTATTTGCTCTGAGTTTCTTTTCACGATTCTTGCGTTTGAGTCTTTGTTCCATTTTAGTGATTTACGAGGTTGGACTAAGCTTAGAACGCAAATTTATTTGGACCACGTAGACAGGCCGCTCGGTATTGTGGCTCACTACAGCTGCAGCACATCTTCCATGGTATGACCTATCCGTGCAATAATTTATTCGCTTACCCCAATGTATTTTGCGATTATAGAGTTGATTTGCTCCACACTATTGTGGTCCTCATTATGAATTAAACTCACTGCATTCGTAATTAATTAAATTAATTAAATTGTCGCATATGACCTTTTATTGTCCATTATCAACCTTGATAAAAAAAGGCACTCAAGAACAATCACACCAACAAGAGTACAGCAGAACACCTCAACGACACAATATCGACAAACAATAACAAGGGTAGAACGATACTAAATGATCACTTGCTGAGTACCAAAATAGGAAACGATTTACAGGCTAGATCGCTAATCGACATCCGACTATAAAAATTTACCTCGGTACGCACCCGCAGTCATCCTTTTTTAAAGTAGCGCCGACGAGCGTCTAAGGCCAGCCTACCCTCGTTTCCTTTTCACCCCCCCGTTACCTCAGTAGATGGTGCTCGTGATTGTAGGAGCCCCGTTAAGTCAGACTCGTATACGAGAAACAAAATTGAAATGTAAAGTATCTAATGTTATTAAATTCATACTATAATGAATCTCCAACAAAAGAGAGTCCGGTGCTTTTTATTAATCCGTCAATGACTGCGTCTGTGGGTGTGAGAAGAAAAAGTTTGGGTCAAAAGCAACATCAAAATAGCGTGAAATTATTAAGGATTTTTAATTCTTACCTCGCGTGACAAGATGAATAAAGTCGTTTTTGAACATATTGACGTGGGCAATAAGTTAAAGTTATATTCCTATTCCAGCTTGAACATTGTGGCGCCTATATCCAAATTTGTCAAAAACGCTGCAAGGCATCGTATTTCCGCTTTTTTCTAATAAACATATTCTTCTCTGACAAAAGGAAACATTACAAAACGGCCACTAGGCATACATGGAAGTGACAGTTGTAATAAATCCAAATGCTCTATACAACTGCACTGTCCGAACATGCCTTCGGGTTAATCAGTTTAGTTAAGTTTCTTCGGTAAACATGTAAAACCTTTTACAGCAATGCGTATGCGCAACGAAACACGGTGTTCACAATTAGTACTCAGATAAGACGCCATTCGTATTTTTTTATCACTGAGAAAGTGATTTATGCTATTTTATTTATTCGAATTTATACGTTTAATAAATAAGTGCCGCTAGCTGAGTATGATATGAATAGAAAGCGACGTTAGAAAGTGATTTATAATTTATATATCATAATAATTATAAGGTTTTTTATTACATTTTGATTCTATTGTAACCGCCTGCTTTATTGTTTGAAAGTTCAAGATCCCACAGCGTGAACTGCGATCGCGCATGACGAAATACTGCAGGTTATTACTGATTGGGATGCAATAATTCAGTATGGCTTACTACTTCTTATACGGTATTGCATCTTTATTAACAACATTCACTCAAACACACATCCGGTGTCGATGAGTCTGTCGGCTATGAACGACCATATTGCGTAAGCAGTTTTTTTCCAATAAAGTACACGAACACCGCAAGCGTGCATCTATTTGAAAAATGATCAATACCGAGATTTCAATATATCAAAAAGATCATTTGTCTTTAACCTCAAATATTGACCCCACAGCTCACTTGGACGTCAAGTCTGTAAGTTCGAGCAGCAACCATCATTTTCGACAGCAGATTCGTTTTGAATCAGAGTACATTTTCATAGAAGATCACTGGTGTTACATCTGACTAGTATATAAAGAAAACTTGACAAAATAAGCATCTTTTTAGGTTTAAGGCCCGTATCGTCAGTTGTCCCTACAATTGTAAGGCGCCTTTATGGCCTCCTTGATTGTCATAGTTTTCTATCTTTACATGTCAGTGCTCTATTTTGAGGTTATGTCACAAACATCTATTTGCATCAAATTGTGCTTGCTTTTGAGTTATATCATGTTTTATCAGCCTGAAATATCCTACAATTTAAAAGGAAAACATATCTTCACAGTAGGAGAGCGCTGATGCTGACACGGGACAAGTGTATTCTAGAAATTTTTGAAGGAGAGAAAGGAGTATGACAATCAAGAAGGCCATAAACGCGCCCTACAATTGTAGGGACGACTGACGATACGGGCCTAAGCGAGTGTTTTTTTTTTCGTGCTTTTGCTCCTAGCTCCGCCACCACTAGACCGATTTTCGAAAACTATAAAGCTTGTTCATCCTTGGCATAGTAGTAACCTTGTCTGAAATTTTTATCAAAATCCGAGCGATACTTCTCAAGTTATAGGCGGACAGACCGACAGACTGACCGACGGTAATGATTGACATGTTTTTTTGTAATGTGCATGTCATATAACATCCAGAACACATATCTCCAATTTAAAATTTTTGCAACTACAATACGAGCCCCTTCCCACTTCAGTTGGCTCAACTATTGAAATCTTATTTTTTTTCTTATCAATCACAAATAATAAAAATGTAGCAGAGTCTTATAGGTTTAAAGTATTAACATTGAATATTTTGATACTATATAGTAGAAAACACCAACTTTATCACTCCCTAATCAAATTTGCAGCATAAAAATAACACGTTATGTATAACGCATAGGTGGCTGTGACAAATAAAGGCCATTACAATTGTTTTTATTAATCACAGCTGTCAGAATACGTTTAAAATAGTTTTGGGTAGTTAAGGTTTTCAAAATGGGTAGAGGAAAGATTATTAGTGAGAAAATTCGGTTACTGATAATAAATTTTTTTAATTCTGGGAAATCAAACTCAGAAAATGCAACTTTGTTAGAGTTATCGCGGTACAGTGTGAGAAATATTGTTAGAAGATATAACGTAACTGGTTCAGTTAATATTAAGCCACGATATGTGAAAAAAACTAATATCTCAGATGCCGACCGAAGAGCATTAAGAAGAATAATCGTGAAAAACAGGCGTGTCAATTATTTACAATTAAGTGCTCTGTGGAGTGTCGCTGTTGGAAGCAGAATTTCGAGGTCCACGACTCATAGAGAGGCCTACAAACTGGAATTTAGCACTTGCAAGGTAAGTTTTCTTATAAAAAAAGTGAAGTAAAAACTCTGAAGCTGCACAACCTGTTTATAGGTCAAAGAAAAGCCACTATTAATTCCACTGCAAAAGAAAAATCGGCTTAGATGGGCTAAAGAACAGAGACAATGGACACCTCAACAATGGTGTGCAATACAATGGAGTGATGAGGCCCCATTCGACGTTTGTGTTGGTGACAGTCGCAGTAGAGTTATTCGCAAAAAAATGAACCATTCCATGTTGACTGTCTGAAGAGAAAAGTGAAATTTCCAGCATCCATTATGGTCTGGGGCAGTATGTCATCAAAAGGAGTAGGAAAACTTCATTTTATTGATAGAAATGTGGATACAAACAAACATTTGGCAATTTTAGAAGAATCGCTTTTACCAGTTATGGAAGAATGTTTGACATCCGGCCAAGATTTTGTGTTTCAGCAAGATGGTGCAGCGTGCCATACCTCAAAAACGGCTATAAAATGGATGGAAGAAAATAATGTACCACTTTTGGAATGGGTTTCTAGCAGTCCAGATCTGTCACCTATTAAAACTTTGTGGCACGAGATGAAAAAGATTCTACGACAACATCCTGCTCGTACAATCACCGAACTGAGACAAAAGCTTCAAGAAATATGGGATTGTTTTGCAAAAATGTTTGCCAAAGCTTGGTTAACACTATGTCCCAAAGAATTTTAGCCGTAATAAAAAATAGGTGATGTTACCCGATGGTAATCTTTCAATTGTTGCTTTGTTAACTTCGCGCATTTATTCGCACATTGTTTATTTGCTCAGATGTTCTATTAGTTATAGGTCTAAGTGATTTCAAATATGTATTTTTTACGACTAGAGTGTATCTAAAATGTTTTTGAGAAAATAAATTGTTTTAGAAGTAAATAGTTTCGTCATGTTTAGTTTATAAATGCATATTATGGTACAAATCTTGAAGTGGGCCAACTGAAGTGGGAAGGGGCTCGTACTTCCTCGCCAATTTTGGCATAGAAAGTAAAAATCGAATATACAAAATATGTTAAGCCGCTATGAAGAAGTTGCAATAAATCTTATAATTATTTTACATTGAACGTTGATGACGACAAAGTCTCAGCGATTTTCTAAAAACTTGTCTACGTAACAACTAGAATGCTGAGAAAAGAAAAATTACATAATATCCTTTGGCGTCAGCAAAGGTGTTTCTCAACAACTACAAAAACGCTTTTCCACATGCTTTTACTCCTTTTCTTTCACTCACCCTTCTGCCGGCCTCATTGTTGTGCAAATTCATTAAAACACGTCCCTGCTCACGAGTGCCTCTCTTGAACTTCCTCTCCTTCTCGCGTACGTCCACAAAATTCTGCGTGAATCTGAAAATAAGGGCGCCATTAAGAAAAGGGAGCGAAAGACACCTACGATACGGATATTGTTTATTCTTTTTTTGTAACGTGCCCTAATTGGATCATTAAGAAACTAGGTGACAAGCTCCGGAGACAGGTGCAAATCTGCATATATTGCAGCGGTTGCTTGTGTCGGCTTTAGAGGCGCATGCAAACCTTTAAATCTTGTGGGTGTGCACCGTCGTCATTTTAATTATGTAAAAAAGAATTTCTGTTCTGTCTGTAAAGTAGTTATATGAGCTAATGGAAGATATATTGAAAATCTGTTTTCATGACAACCTTGATATCTTACTAGTGTATTTTTTTAAATTATTTTATATATATACAGGGTGTTCCATAATTTAGTGTTATAGCAAACATGTATTTTTTAATGATCCTATATTTTATTGAATATTTGAATAGAGCATCTTGGAACAAGGAGTTAGCATATCGTTTCGATTGTTAATTGCTTAGATTTTTGGTCAATCGTCTGATAAAATATCCAGCTTTGACGGCCATGTGGAATTATTGGACCATCCTCCATATAGTCCCGATCTAAGTCCTAACGATTTCTTTACTTTCCCGAAAAATAAAAACAAACTGCGTGGTCAAAGGTTCGAGTTACCAGATGAAGCAGTTGACGCATTCAAAAATGCCGTTTTGGATCTGCCAGCAAACGAGTGGAAAAAGTGCTTCCAAAATTGGTTCGACTGCATGCAGATATGTATGAATCTTCGTGGAGAATACTTCGAAAAACAATAAAGTCATTTAAAACTACCTACCGTGTCGTTTTATTTCCATATGCAAAACTTAAAAGACATCCCTCGTATATGATATGAAACTTCTTGTATTCAGAAGCTCTATCCCAATAAAGCTGCGAGACGAAGTTTGGAGGCCGAAAAAACTAAATTTTCTCAAAATCGTTTCTATCATCTTCCTGACTTTATTTAAGATGGGGCTTCAAATTAAAAAGCTCATTAACATTGCCACTTTTTCCTTTATAAGATGGCATGACTGGAATTTCATTAAAACTAAAGGGATGCTTGTCTGATGGTATGAAACAAATGACCATCTGATAATTTCAAAGCCTACTTAGGAAATTCAGTTGTTATGAAATAATTGAACTCATTATAGACATATTATACATTTTCGAATACAGAATTAAAAATTCTGTTTACTTGTGCAAAAATCTAGTATGGCGTGCTTAAGAAAAGTAAAGTGCATGTTTGAGGACAAGATACGAAACGTCATATTGTAATTCTAGCTATACTATTTTATAGAGGAGAAAAAGTGACAATGCTAATGTGCATTTTATTTTAAAGTCCCATCTCAAATGAAGTCAGGAAAAAATAAAGAAGGTTTCTAGAAAATTCATTCTTTTCCGCCATTTTCCTCACTTCTTCACTTAACAAACGATGGGCACTTTGCAATTGTTATTATCGTATATAAAACAAGAATCCAGGAAACGATTTTGCCAATTTTGTAACAAAAAAAAATCTCATTATGCTGGCATCTATTATGTCATAATTATACATCCATAATTGAAAAAAAAAATCGTATAGCTCATTCTACCTTAATGGCCCCACATTTTCACGCAAGAGCAATTTCCGAAGTAATTTTTCCGTGCCAATGTCCCATACAAATACTCAACAGCTTGTGCCTAATATACCCAATTAGTTTCTGCAGCAACGTTGCCACAGTCACTAAATATTATATGTGGCAGGTGCGTTATTTTTTTGTCAAAGCCTTTAAGTTATTGCTTACTTTGAATCACTTCAATAGTGGCGGACAAATCACCAACTGTTTTTGCTAACGATATACGAGGGTGGTCCCAGAAGTACCCGGCCTGACCTGGAGATGGCGATCGTTGTTTGAAAAATATCATTGTATTAGAAAGTATGCAACCTATGTGTCAAGTTTGAAGACGCCATGTTGTTTAGTATTTGTTTGGCAGCCGTCAATACTGAACGTTTTCAGTGAATTTGTGAAAATGGAGAAAATTGGTCATCGTTATGTGGTACAATACTTTTATTTAAAGGCCTCAGCCCAACTAATACAAAAGGTGAACTGGATTCTACTCTGGGTGAGTCTGCTCCTTCGTTTACAACATTGAAATATTGAGTAGCAGAATTTAAACAATAAAAACATTGGACTCAAAAGGGTCAACCGGCCCCAAAGAAGGCGAAGAACGTTTCATCTGCAGGCAAGGTTATGGCGTCGATTTTTTGGGATGCGCGTGGGATAATTTTTATGGACTATCTTGAAAAAGGTAAAACTATCAACGGCGAGTATTATGCGAACTTATTGCAACGTTTGAGCGATGAAATCAAGCAAAAACGGCCGCATGTGGTTAAGAAGAAAGTGTTGTTTCATCAAGACAATGCACTGGATATTTTGAGGAGCAAGACAGTTCTTATTATAAAAAGGGTATCGAACTTATTTAACATCGCTGGGAAAAGTGTATAGAGCTCAAAGGAGATTATGTTAAAAAATAAATGCATTTTTTTACAAAAATTTTGTGTTTTCTTCGTTGGGTCGGGTACTTCTGGGACCACCCTCGTATATATGAATATCCATTTTATTTGCAAAAGCAAGCCATACCTCTCATGTACGTATTTAGGATGTTCTTAAGGTTGATAATTCTCTTTATTTAGCATATACTTCCTGTAAACGGTAGCAAAATTTCCTTGTAACAAATACACCAACGTCTTAAGATAAACAATACAATAGATTACAATATAATTCTGGAAGCTCTAGAATCCTCTGCAGAATAACCTAACCTTTCAGGAAGTATTGACGTTAGAAAAAACATAGGAATTCGTAATGAAATAAGAAATATGTAATATTCTCAGGTAAATAGTTTCCAGTCATATCATTTCAACCACGTCGACACGGCGCTGTTGGAGGTCAGGACCTCCCATGGTTAGAACCTTGCTAGAACAATGCGCTGCATCACTTTCCTTCACGAACAGCCACTGACTAATGCCTGTCGTGCTTTTTCTATCGCGCAATCAGCTGTTAATCTCTATAATCTATCGTTTTTTGTTTGCTTGAAATTGTGTGTCCGCGTCTAATGATGCAGCCCGACACTAGGCACACACACACACACACGTGATGATCGTGTCTGTTGGTTTTCCTTCTGGAAAAATGGCTAACAGCTGCTGAGTAGCGAACCAGGGTTGCCACACGCATACATCGTATTGCCACTAGTATTATTCAACCCAAGTGGCGTCAATGTTCAAATGTTGGCCTCTAAATGGTACCACCTGTTCAATTTGTACTTTGAAGATGGCCACAGAGGTGCCAGAAAGGTCAGGAAAGTATTATTCATCCGTATGTGGCTTCTTCATAGCATGAAAACATATAATTTTATTGGGGTCTTTTCAGTTTCGTGTGTGTCATAAATCAAAAGAGTTACAGTGATATCAAGAGTGCAAAACATTACTACCAGGTGCTGCCTGCAATAAAGCTACATTCAATTTATATGTTTCGTTATTCTTCTGTTAAGATACGGTTTAAGGGAGTAGACGAGGTCACAGAGAGGCTTTTAATCCGCTAGATGTCAGCTCAGTTATTAAACCTAGTATTAGCTCATCCTGAATCCAACCCGCTTCTCTCCAAAACACCTAATAATAGCATCATTAAAGCATATACGACTACAGATCATCAGAAAATTCCAATGAGCGACCACAGAAAAACAACATGAGAAACTCGACCAACAGACTTAATGATGGCCACAGAGGTACCAGAAAAGTCAGTAAAGCATTATTCCTCCGTATGCTGGTTCTTCGTGGCATGAAAACATATAATTTTATTGGGGTCTTTTCAGTTTTGTGTGTGTCACAATTCAGAAGAGTTCCAGTGATATCAAGAGTGCAAAGCATTACAACTAGCATCGCTGGATGGGTGCTGCTTGCAATAAAGCTACATTCAATTTATATGTTTCACTTTTCTCCTGTTAAGATACGGTTTAAGAGAGTAGACGAGGTTTTTAAGTAAAGGGTGTCTCATAAATATTTTCTTATTTTATGCCATAAATAAAAATACTTAGAATATTTTTACAAAGATAAATTTATTACCAAACGAAAGCCTAAACATTAATTTTATTTATGGAAAAGAGTATCGGATAAATGAGCACCGTTCATGTTTTCACACTCTCTTAATCTCGAACTGAAGTTTTCGATCACTCTCCGAAGCATTGCTCGAGGAATGGCGTTTATTTCATCTGTTATTTTTTGCTTCAACTCTCTTAAATCTTGTGGCGGTGGGGTGTATACCTTACTCTTCAGGTATCCCCATAAGAAAAAATCTGCTGGTGTCAAATCGGGACTTCTCGGTGGCCAGTTAATGTCTCCTCTGCGACTGATGACCCTCTCTGGGAATAACTGATGAAGAGCATCCAAGGATTCATTCGTGACATGAGAAGTCGCTCCATCTTGCTGGAAAAACGTGTTTCTATTCTATTGTAGCCACCATGGTTCTGTATAGCTGGAGTTAAAAAAGTCCTAATCATGTGGCAGTAGCGCTCAGATGTTACAGTTTGAGCTTGGCCACGATTGTCTTCAAAAAAATACGGGCCAATGATTCCTTGCCCTGACATAGCAGCCCAGACGATAACTTTAGGCGAGTGTAATGGCGTCTCATGAAGATTTTGCGGGTTCTGCTCGGCCCAATATCGGCAGTTTTGTTTATTAACATGCCCGTTAATGTGAAAATTCGATTCATCAGAAAACCATATGTTGTTGTAACCGTTAAAATGCTCTCTCATTGTTCTACAGAACTCTAATCGATTAGCGGGATCTTGTGGTTTTAATTGTTGTGTAACAACAATCTTGTATGGGTGAAAATGCAAATCCTTGCGAATAATGCGATGAACAGTTGACTTATGCAAAGTTAGAGACGCTCCACGCAGTCTTAATGATTGCCGGGGATCCTCGTTAACGGACTGGCGCACACGTTCAATATTTTCGTTCGATCTTGCTGACCTTGGC